CAGGGATGTGCCGAAATGGGTATGCGGGACGCATGCGCATGTGAGCGCCGCCACTGGGGCTATCGGTGGAGCTTCCTATGGGGCCACGAAACGTGTGAGAGGTGTGCCGAAGTGGGTGTGCATGACGCATGCGGGCGGCAGCACTGGGGCCTTCGGTGGAGCTTCCTATGGGGCCACGAAACGTGTGAGGGGTGTGCCGAATTGGGTGTACAGGACGCATGCGGGCGGCAGCACTGGGGCCTTCGGTGCAGCTCCCTATGGGGCCACGAAGCGTGTGAGGGGTGTGCCGAATTGGGTGTGCGGGACGCATGCGGGCGGCAGCACTGGGGCCTTCGGTGGGGCTCCCTATGGGGCCACGAAACGTGTGAGGGGTGTACCGAATTGGGTGTGCGGGACGCATGTGGGCGGCAGCACTGGGGCCTTCGTTGGGGCTCCCTATGGGGCCACGAAACGTGTGAGGGGTGTGCCAAAATGGATGATGATGACGATGATGATAGTGTGAGGAGGGAGGAGGGAAGAGGGGGAGGAGGAGCGGGAGCGTGAGCGGGCGCTGCCTCTTCAAAACGAGAACCCAACACCACAGGATGGTTGGGAAAAACACAGGGAATGGACGTCCGAGCGATGGCGAGTTGAGCCCATGCAGTCTCCTCCTCGTTCTCCTCCCCCAGAAGGAGCGGCTTTCCAAGGTGACCCTCGCAGCCTTCCCCTGCGCCCCAGCCTTGGCCGCTTTTTCGCTGGCCGCGCCCCGCCCGCAGAGACTCGGCATGGCCCTGCGAGGCCCCTGCGTCCCAATCACGCGACCTTCTTACGCGGGCTGACTGCATGGAGTGCTCCAAAACGGGCCTTGCCTTCGAGGGTCGAAGGAGTTGCCATCTTTTCTGGGCCGGACGGCGGCGGAAGTATGAAACGAAGGGGCTCCGCCAGAAGAAGCCGGCGGAAGGCTGGCGGAAGTAGAATATGCGCCCCCCCAAGAGAAGGCAACATTTTGGGGCGGCAGGCTTTTCTTGATTTTCTGTTTTTGGGGGGGCCCTTGCCGGCCCTCTGGAGCGTCAACAAAGCGACTCGGGATTAAAAGCCGGCCCCAGGGAGTGGATTCAGGCCGCTAGGGGTCCACGTCATGCAAGAAGCCATGACGCCGGGGGCCTGGGTACTTACAGAGTGCTGGGTCTGGATCTGGGCTTACTCCGTCTGGACTGAGCCTCTCTTGGAGCCTGTTTTTCTTTATATCCAGGCAAGCTTACTTGCATGGCGTTCGCCCCCCACCCCCCCCCCCCTCCCCCCCCCCTTGCCCCTCTTCAATCGAACACGAGCGTGCAAGTGCCTTTCGACTTGCGTGATTTCCGCACGTCGAATTGTTTTCGGCTTGCTTCAGACTCAGCCCCCCCCCGCCGTCCATGCAAGTAAACTTGCCCGAATCCGAAGAAAAACAGGCTCTTGGTAGGAGGCTAAAGTCCACACGGAGCAAAGTCCATACGAAGGGCTCGGTCTTCGTCCGGGCTTACTCCGCCGGGGTTTCGCCTCTCCTGAGGTGCCTGGATCCGGGGCTGCCGTTGCCCGAGGCCTCCGGGTGTCGAGCAGTGGTGGGGCGGCAAGGAGGGGCAGATTTTCCATCACGACCACCACTACCACGACGGGGGAAAAGGGAGGATGGGGAGGTCCTCCTCCTCCTCCTCATCCTCCTCCTCCTCCTCCTCCTCCTCCTCTTCCTCCTTTTCCTTCTCCACCTCCGCCTCCTCTTCCTCCTTTACCTTCCCCTCCTCCTCATCCTCCTCCTCCTCCTCCTCCTCCTCCTCCTCCTCCTTCTTCTCATATCTATACGGTAGCGGTGATGGAAAATTTCGGCCACGCGCAGATGGGGGGTCGGGGGAGGTGGGAAGGCTGCTTGGAAGCACCCCTGCTTCTGAGGAGGCGCGGGCATTTCTTGCAGATGTGAGGCCAGCGCCTTCCAAGAAGCGGCCTTCATCGAAGAGGCCTTCCCCTCCCCCGCACACCCCACTGTGCGCGCCGCCGATGAGCGACACAAAGAGGCGGGGTCGTTCGCGCCGACCTTGGCGCGTGAGCTGCCCGCGCAAGGTGGCGCGTTAGCCGCCCTCGTCTCCAGAGTAGCGCTCTGTGCCGGTGGCCTGCGTGAGCCACCGCGCAAGATCCCTGCGTCACCTCGACCCGCTTCTGTGCGTCGCTCAAGTGGGGGGTGAGGAAAGGTGCACCTCTTGGGGGGCCCCATGGAGGAGCCTTGCTAGAACACAAGAGGGGCACGAAGAAGGTGCACGTTCCTCCCCCCCGTATATCCCCCCCCATTACTGAACGTCAGAGGCATCGCTGACGGTCCCGGTTGGCAGTCAGTGGGTGGCCGTGCCCCTGGAGTTGCCCAGGGCCGCGGGGGGACGCGAGGCGGCCATTGCGGCGATGGTCTTCAGAGGAGGACAGCGTGCCGACACTGGGATCACCGCGGGGGATGCCAAGCAGATACGGTAGGTTCGCGTCGTGTCGACCGGCGGCGACCCCGCCACGGGCGTTCAAGGTTGAACGCCGCCAGTGGCCCCCATTCGGCCTGCACGGAACGATCAGGCGATCAAAACGCCGCTGATCGTTCAAGGTTGAACGATCCACGCGGTGTCACAAACCAACGCCAGGGTCGTCACGACACGAATTTGCCGTAGGGGGTTTCTGAGCGGATGCAAAGGTGGGATATGCTTGTGCTGGCCTAGCCTAGAAATGCGTTAAGTGGCCTGAGTGGCATAAAGGGGGCAAAGATGTGGACTGAGTGGGCCCCGCTCACTTAGGTGAGTTATCCAACCCCCCGAAGCCACGTAGGGCATGTCCAACCTACGTGCAAGCTAAGTTAGCCCAGGTATAGCCCACCTTCGCATCCGTTCAGAAACCCCCATCCCCTTAGCAACCATCAGGGTGATCCCAGTACCGCCACCCTTGCCTCGGTTTCGCATCTTTGGGTCTCCTAGCAGGTCCTTGTCGCCACGGCTGGGTTCGCCTGGAGATTCTGGTCAGAACGCACCCCGGGAGAGGCCCGGGGAGTTGCGGTATCGGTATCTGTTAGTTTCTTAAGGTCCGCGGAGCGTTGTGCCTCATGACGGTGACGGACGTGAATGGCGAGGGCGGGCAGTCAGTGTTGCTGTTGAACTCTCTGCAGCTCCATGCTCAATGAACCTCGCGACGGCCACACCGCATGAGCCGCCGTGGGATGCCGCGTTCTGCCAATGGCTTGGCTGAGAGGGGGCAGGGGCGCGTCTCAATGCAAGTCTGGTCGAGCATCTCACAGCGTTATCAAGAGAGGTTGCCCAGTGGCTCTGCTGGGGTGGCCGTGCCACTGGACGAGTTGGATCTTGATGGCAGGGGTTTAGCCACGCATTACAGGATACCCCTGACAGGCGCAAGACCATGCAATACTCGGGCCTGGGCATGTTTGGATAAGCACCCGCAGTGGCGGCTCGGGGCGAGAGGGGGACGCCCGGGCTGCGCAGGTGGAGGCACGCGGCACGCTCAGCGTGCCCAGCTGCAAGCTGCTCGTCGCTTCTACCGCACGACGCCGAACGACCGTTGTGACGTCGTCAGTTGTGCGAGCTGGCGAGTCGCCTTCTCGACGGGGCCGCACATTCTCCCGATGAGCCCAGTCTTTCGTATTCGAGCGCGGGCACTATCTTGCCCGTGCTTTACGCGTCTGCATGGATTCCTCCCGAGCCCCGTCAGGCATTGCCCCCCGGGTGTTTTTTGTTCCTCGGCAGGCCAGGCTGCCGTCCGACAGCAAAGCTCATTCTGCGCGCGCTCGTCTTGCGGGCGGCCGATTTGGGACTCCCATTAGTTGCACGCGGTTGCCTTCTGGTCTTGCGACGTAGCCCACAGAGCCGGCGGACGTAAGTTTGTGCATTTCGGGTTAGTTCAGGGGTGCGAGATCATGGAGCTAGTTGTAAAGGAAGCACAAGCCAGCGAGATCCAAGTGGCTTACGCCATTTTGCCGACCCCCAGAAAGAGCGAGAACTTGCGGCGATCGTGGAAGTTATTTGGTGGGACAGGAGCCTTTTGGGTGCCTATGAAGATATGTTAGGGGCTCCTGGGATGCTCCTCAGGTGCATCTTGGAGGGATCTTTGTTGCACATAGGGGACTTGTTGGGGCTTCTTGGGAGGCTCTTCGGGGCTTCTTGGAGGCATATTGGAGACCTCATGGGGCCTTTTGGGGGCGCTCGGGGGCCTCTGAGGGGCTCTTGGGACCGTCTTGGAGAGAACGGTTCGAAAGTTTAGTTTGTTTTCGACCTCTTGGGCCACTCTTGGGGCCCCCGTGGGCCTCTTCAGGCCGTCGCGGAGGCTCCTGGGGCCGTTTTGGTACCCTCCTGGGCCGTCCTGGGGCTCTCTTGGGGGCCTCATGGCCTTGAAGATAGTTTATCGGGTTGGCTTGAGATTTGTTGATCCGCACGCTCGGGAGCAGGCCAACTCAGAAAGACATGCCGGACAGGCCGCATGATATGTTTGTTGCTCACGTTACGTTCATGTTCTGCCTCAAGGGCCTACCTGAGAAAAAAAAATGTTGATCCGCAACTGTTGGATCAAACACAGCCGCGCGAGCCGGTGGGTTCGCCCGTCCATGGAAAGGGGCGAGGGCCGCCGCGGCGGGCGCGGGCGGCTCGGCACAGCTGGGGTCGATCTGGTAGGGGCAGCGGTGCACGTGCCAGGTGGATCTGGGCGAGGGCTTTTCTGTCGACCGCGAGCTGCTTCGTCCCCAGACCCCCTCGAGTAATGAAAAAATCACGACGGGAGGTTTTTCCTAATTTTCGGCCTCCGGGGGCCCTCACCGGGCCTCGGGAGCGTCAAAAAACGACTCAGGATGCAAAGCTGGTCATGGGGAAAGGGTCGGGACCTCTGGAGGTCGACGTAATGAAAAAATCATTACGTCGGGGGTCTGGGTCTGCTGGAAGGCGAGCTGCAGACGGTGTGGACCTGCCAGCCTGACCGTGCCGGCTCCGTGTCCGACGCCCGAGGGCACGGGACAGCCAGTCCTCGTGGTGCTGCTGGTGGCGGTGCTCGCCTTCTTGCTGGGCTTCGCGGCCGCCTCGGCCCTTGCCTGGTGGCGGCTCCGCCGCTCAGAGGCTCGCGAGGTCCAGGTCTTGTGCACGCCTGAGGGTCCAGATGCCCGCACTCTTACGTCAGGGCCAGCGGGTGCTCGTCTCGTACGACGCGGATCCTCGCGAGCTCTTGTGGCATGAGCGCCTGCTGCGCGCCCACGTGCATGGGAGCTTGTGGGGGGTCGCCACGCCAGAGCGGGACATGTACCTCGAGGACCTCCAGGAGGGAATCGAGAGCCTGGTGCCGCTGGGGCCACTGGGCGGGCTGCCCGCCGGGTGGAGCCGCGGCCCGTTTTACCGGTTCAGGGGCTCATTGCAGGGGCCGCTGTTCCAGGCCGACATCCTGCGGCTGCCGGCAGACGGCGCCGAGCTCGCGGATCAGGAGCGTCTCGCGCTGGGCCTCGAGGATATGCCACCGCTTCCGCCGCCCGAGGAGGCACCTCCAGCTCCGGTGCTGGAGAGCGCTGCCCGCCCCGAGGAGGGTGAGCGGCGCTTCTTGGAGACGCGGGGGGAGGCGCGTCTGGGCGAGCGGGTGGTCCCTGCTGCGCTGGAGGCTGGCTGCTGCCGAGGAGATCGAGGGGTCGCGAAGGTCGGCGGCGCGTTTGTCTCCTGCGCCTTCTTCAGGCCCGGCGAGCAAATGCCGACCAACGAGCTGATGGCCATCGCGTCGAGCCGACGGGTGAGCTGAGGACGTTGCCAGTGAAGTACGAGACGTCGGATCGGCGGCACCGCTCGCATAGGGAGGCAGCCTCGCTTACCGCGACGACGGCGTTCGACGACTGGCACATCAGCGGGCCCCGCGCGGCGGAGTGGCTAGCACGCGAGATCGCCCGTCAGGAGCTGACGCTGGTGAGTGGCCACTTCTGGCGGCGGCAGCTCCTTAATCTCGGCCCCAGCGACTGGGGCGCCGGGGAGCACGAGGCGCTCAGCAGGCTGTTCGAGTACGCCTTGACGTACGACCAGCTCAATTTGGGAGAGCTCGCGTCGCTGGAGCTTGCTGGGCGCCGCCATCAGCTGCTTGAGAAGAGATGCGCGCGCATGCTGGTAGCAGCCACTGCCAGCGGCGACAGCGGACACCTCGACAACGACAGGCTCTTCATGGGAGAGGAGGGCCGACACGGTCGCGCGCTCGTTGCTCCTGCCCTGGAGCCCTGGATTTCGCACAAGGTATCGGAGGAGAGCGCGGTGCTGAAAGGGGCGCCACAAGGCGATGGAGGAGCGCCAGCTGACGCGCTCCACGGACGCGACCCCTGATGCTGGAAGCGGCCAGAACGACGACGAGCCCCCCAAGAACCCGCGCAAGAAGGGCGGCGGGCAGGGGGGTGGTGCTGCTTGAGCTGCCTCGGGCGTCGGAGGCCCCCGGCCGTCGTCCTTTTTGCATAGGGGAGGGCTGCTCGCTCGCGGAGAATGGCGAGCCGCCTTGGCGTTGCAGGTGAGGGCCTCGCCTGGGCCCGCGATTTGCTGCCGCTGCCAACTGGTCGCTGCCTTGCCGATCTCCTGGAGGGTTTATCGCAGGCTGGGCTGGGGGCGTCGCGCTGCGCGGAGAGACACGCGCTCGTCGTCGAGCTGCGTAGGCGCGGCTGCGGGGTGGCATCGCGACGCTCAACACTCTGGGAAGCCGTGGCGAGGTGCGGGGCCCCAAAGTGATGCCAGGTGCCATCCAGCGCCAGGCAGCGGCCAGCTTGGCCCGGGCCTACTACGCCGCCCCGCCGCCGCCCGACGACTGCACCGCCTCGGGAGCGCGTTCTGCGGTCTGCGCTTCGGCCGTCGACGGCGTCGTCGCCGGAGAGTTCGCGACCTGCCAGCGCGGCAGGCTTGCTCTGCCAGCGGTCGGCAAGCAGGCCATCGATCTTTTCGGGTGCCTGCCCGATCACTACCAGGTTTTGCCGGGGGATAGCGGCCGTCCCAGGGGTGCTCAAGTTCTATGTCATAGATCCTGCTTCATGTAGAAAGATCATAATATAGATCCTGTATGTGAAAAACCATAGTAGGATCTATAATTCATGTATGTGCTGATCCTCCGATCAGCACGAATAATCATTATCCTCATAGAGTATCACTGATTTAGTGTTGTAGTGCGTGGCCTTCTCCATAAAATCCTCCCTCACTTTCCTCTCCCCCTCTATTTCGTTTCTCGCCGTTCGCTCCTGTCTCGTTTCATGTTATCGGTAACTTCTGCAGAGAAAACCACTGCAGTGGCAGTGGCTTTCTCTGCAGCGTTCGTTTTAGGTGAGTGGTCGCGTCTGAGGCACCTGAGGGGGAGGAGAAGGAGGTTGGGGAGAAGGAGCAGGAGGAAAACGAGTGGGGGGAACAGGCATTCAGGTCCTGCGTCGTCGTGGCTGTCTGCGTTTACGCAGCCATTTTGGCTGAATGACACCGCGGGGCCCCGCGGTGCACGCGGACACCCGCGCGTACATACGCAAGGCGCCGCTGCACATGGCGGTTCCGCGGGCCAAACGGCGGCGGAGGACGAGTGACGGAGGAGGAGGATATGAAGGAGGAGGGGGAGGAGGAGGGGGATGGGGGAGGGGTGCGAGGAGGAGGAAGAGGGGGGGGAAGGAGGGGGAGGAGGAGGAGGAGGAGGAGGACGAGGAGGAGGAGGAGGAGGAGGAGAAGGATGTCAGGAGGATACGAACGATGCATTTTGAAATGCAAGGTCGGCAACGAGGGAGGACGGAGGTAGAGGTCGCAGACGGCGGCGCAGAGGCAGAAGAGGAGAGCAGGAGAATGAGCAGACGGCGGAGGCTGAGGAGAAAATCGATGCGTTTTTGTTTTGTCCGTCGTCATCCCCTTGTTCGTCGCTCTCTCGCTGTCTCGTTCGAACGTCTTCGGGATTTGGAGCGGTCACCGCGGCCGAATTTCGTCGGGTTGAATGCGACGGCTCGACGCGGACGCATCGAGCCGTCGCATCCGCCCCAAAGTTCGGGGACGGCGATTTCGAACGGTTTCAAACGCCCCCCCCCCCTTTCACGAGCCCACAGGCTTCTCCCGACGCCGCGCCGGTGGCGGAGGACGGCGCCGACGGCGCCGCCGCATCGGGGGCATGGTCGTGCGAGCTGGTCGGGCGCGTTCAATCGCTCTTGTCGCACCTCCACCTCCCCGTCGCTCGGAGGAGTAGAGGAGGAGAGGAGGGGGTGGTCGAGAGGAGGGAGCAGGGGGGGAGAGGAGGAGAGGAATGGAGGAATGGAGGAGGGCCGAGGAGGAGCGACGATGAGCGAGATGAGATGAGAATGACGACAGCGGAAGGCGATACGAAGAGAAATATTTGATGTCAGTAAATGGCAAAGTACATGATGAGGATAAGTATAGGAAGAGTGGGATAAGAGGGGGAGGAGGGGGGAGGGGGAGGAGGAGGAGGAGGATGAGGAGGAGGAGGAATAGGAGGAACATGAGGAGGAAGAGGAGGAGAAGGAGGAGGAGGAGGATGAAGGGATGAGGAGGGGAGGGGGAGGAGAAAGCGGACGAGGATGAGAAGGAGGGGGGAAGGAAGACAGGTGGAGAAGGATGAGGATGCATTTGCGTCTCACTCAGGCCAGTGGCAGCAGCAGCGGCGCAGCAGCCGCGGCGCAGGAGGCCGCCGAGGAGACGCCAGCGCCCGCGGCGGCAGCAGCAGCAGCAGCACCAGCACCAGCACCAGCAGCACCAGCAGCTCCAGCACCAGCAGCTCCAGCACCAGCAGCACCAGCACCAGCAGCACCAGCGCCAGCAGCACCAGCGCCAGCAATGATCTACAGCCCGACGGAGACGGAGTTCGCGCCCAACAGCCCAGCTATGTCGCCGACCGTCGTGGCAGCCATGCCAGAGAGCGTCAAGCGCTATGAGACGCTGATCACGTTCCTGGACGTCCTTCGGAAACATTCGCCGAGTGCGGCGACCGCGCTGGAGAGGAACCCGATGTTCTGGGCGGACCCAGAGAAGTACATCAACGTCGACCTGGCCACGCTCACAGACGGCGTCGACGCGTCCAAGCGCCAGGGTCAGCAGGAGCAGCAGACGGAGGCACGCCGCGACAAGGAGCCGATCACCAAGCTGAAGTTGCCGATCGGGATCACTGCCTTCGAGACGGCATCAATTGCCTCGACGGCGGCATCGACGCCGAGAAGCGCTTCGAGACCGCGGCAGGGCAGCATCCCAGACGCCCCTGAGTCCGACGACGACTACGACGAGGTGCCGTCCGCGCAGGTTGCGAGCCAGACACCGTGCAGGTCGCCAGTGGAGCAGGCCGCAGCATGCACGCAAGAGGACACTGTGCAGTACGACGCCGTGGCGACCGCTGGTAAGGCAGCGAGTGCTGCTGATGACATCGTGACCCGCCAGGAGCTCGGAGCGATGCTGGAGGCGTCGATGAACGAGATCAGGGAATACGCAGATGATGTGAGCGGCCGCGAGGACAGTGACGACCAGATTGGCATCATGGAGGCTAAGATGACGGAGCTGTACCAGGGCGAGCTGGTGCAACAAGTTCACGCACGTCGTCAGACCCCAGCAGTCGGCAGCCCAGGGAACGCGGATGGCGAGCCCATCATCAAGCAGGAGCTGCAGGACCTGCACAACATGTGGGAGGACGTCAAGAGCAAGAACTACACCTTCAAGACGGAGAAGGCACACGACTCAAAACATGAGGGGTCGGAGGGACTGGATGTATGATGATGATGATGATGATGATGATGATGATGGGTGGGTGGATGGATGGATGGATGGATGGATGGATGGATGGATGGATGGACGGATGGATGGATGGATGTATGGATGGACGTATGATGATGTGAGGGGGAGGATCTCATAAAACGACAAGGACGGGATCACGGGAGTTGGCATGACAAGGGATTGCGATCCAGCGAGGCTGTCGGGAACCCCATCGCTGGCCACTGGGACAGGGCGCTCAAGGCCGACAAAGATTGCCATGCTTCGCATGTCCGCCGTGACCATAGATGAGACGGTGCGGAGAAAGTTGAAGCAACTTCAATTTTCTCCGCACAACCCGAACAACCGACACAGAACCCGAACGACCCATCCAAACCCCATCCAAACTCCATCCAAACTCCATCCAAACTCCATCCAAACTCTATTCAAACTCCATCACCACTCAGCTCGCCTCCCAACGAAACTCGTGCCCAAACTGTGTATTCGGTGAGGCTGGAATCAACAAACCGATTCAAATCCGTCTCACGCGCGGCAGCGCCGCTTACAGGCGGCGGCGGATCTGCGAGCTCGATATGCAGCGGTTCGCGGCTACGTGAACAAGAATGACTTCAGAGCGGAGTGGGCGAAGGCGACCCACGAGAAGTGGAGCCGGATCAACGTTCGAGAGGTCAAGACGAGCTCGACCAAGCGAGAGGTGCGAGATGGGAAATACTTATCGCTCTCTCGCATTGCCCACAAGGAGGGCGGCGGGCGCGCAGGTCACCGCGCAGCCTGCAACTACTGCACCCAGGCGGTCATGCTCGGAGACATATGGATCAAGTACGACCAGTGGACGCGGACGCTGAAGTACCTGTACGTGCTCCACGGCTACGACGAGGAGTGGACGAAGTCGTGGACGGACCTGACCAGGTGGATGGAGGGCACGGGCGTCGATCACGGCAACCCCATGGCTCAGGCTCTGGCTGATGTAACGAGCGCCAGTGGCCCGCTCAGTGTGCCCAGCGGCACCGCCATCACGAACAAGAAGCGTGATCGTGTTGCTGAGGAGCTCGCGAGATCGACGGGCACGGGCGCAGCAACTCCAGACGAGCCGAAGCAGCAGAAGGTGACTCCGCCCACCAGCAAGCAGCAGGAGATCAGCGACGATGACGACAGCGCTCCGCTGGCCAGCGCCACCCCGCCCCGCAAGAAGGCCAGGGGCGCTGCTGGTGCCGAGGGCAAGGCAGCCGCGGCGGGCGCTGCTGGCAAGCAGGCCGAGGCTGCCGCTGGCGGAGGCGGTGGCGGCGAGGCTGCGGCAGCGGGAGCGCGCGGGGCCGCTGGTCGGCGGCGCCTGGCGCAGCAGCGCGAGTGCGACGAGCAGAAGGGGGAGGTCGCGGGCGGGCAGTCGTCCAAGATGCGGCCGAGCAAGGCGCCAGAGGATTGCATTTTGCTTTGAGCCAGAAAGGGGGGGGGAGTCAAAGGACGCGGCGGTGAACGGCGGCGGAATTGGCGGTTGGAGGGACCAATGACATAAACAAGAGGAGGATCAGATGGAGGAGGACGAGGATGATGAAGATGAAGATGGGGAGGACGAACGGGATATGGTGATAACAGCGTGCTAAACGAAACAGTCGATGCGGTGCGGAGAGACGGAGTCGACAACCGATGTCCTCGAACTCGGCCCGTTTCCGATCGATCCTTCATGACCTCCCA